CCTGGCTGGTTTAGTTGGATCCTTAGGCCTGAGAATCATAGGGAGCTACTCATGTCGGGGACACAGGTCTAGGGAGCCAAGTGGACATTTTCTAGGACCATAGCAGTGAGAACAGTGAGTGACAGGTTTCCAAAGAAAGCCAACCACCAAGACAGTTCCCTCTGTTCAGCATTTGAAACCAGGCAATTCTAAGCTCTCAACCTATCTATTCAGTACAGTGTAGACACAGCCATAGTGTGACGTCTATTCTGGGGTATTGGAGGGGAGTCAAGGACTGCCAGCCATAGTCTCTGCCTTAAGCATTCTCTCCAGAGTCTACCGTGTGAAGTTAGCTGAAGTCTGGAAAGACTTTGGGGGTGTCTATTTCTCAGAGAAACCCTTCCTAGCTACAGGAGAGAAGGCTGGAGGGCTGAGTTCATTTTTTTAAGCTGTGCCCTGGCAGATCTCGCAGATCCTCTTAGGAGGGAGTATCTGGCGAAGGCTGTTAGGATGCTTCATTATTGAACTATTCTGCCAAAAAGAACCTGGAGATAAACCAAACCAACTCAGGCCTTCTTCTAAGTCAAAAGGATGCTAAAATCAGGCATTGAAAGTTAGCTCTATGTCATATTTGATGTTCTAGCAACAAGTTGGGAGTAAAATTGTTAAGCTGCAAGTGTCCCGGGCTAAGAGCCACCTGGACCATGAGTTGAGGTACTACTTGAAGCATGAGTGCCTTTGTGTCTGAGGCAGGCTCCTGGATGCCCTTCATGACACATTGATCCCATGACTTCATCCAGAGGTGGGGAGATTCTGCCCCGATGCTCAGGAGCCTGGGGAGGGTGGAGCCTGTGATAAGGGGTGACCCAGTAGCAACCATGTGGCTTCTGTTCATGCTCCATCTACTGAGGAACTTCGTGGTCATTGCCTAGCAGATCAGTTGTGGGCCAGGAACACTTCCAAGCCAGGCCTCTGAAAGCCTGGAAGATACAGGAGTGGCATACAGGGGGAGCAGAAGAGGAGGGCTTCACATCCTCTCCTGTGCGGTACTCCTGTGGGTCTGGGTTTAGGCTGAGCCGGCTTCCAGGGTGGTATCTCAAGGGTTCTTAGAGAGGCATACCCACTGGTGACTTACAGTGGAGACTTGAGTGGCCTCATACCCTGTGATGTTTGGACATCTGGGCCTCTCTGCCTTCCTCCAACATGAAGGCCGACATGGGCAGATGGTGCCTTGCTTTAAGACCCGGGTGTGAGAGATAAAATGCCTGTTTGTCCTTGTCCCTTCCACCCCCAATCTACCTAGTTTCTGGAGACACTGGTGGAGGTTAGGTGTGCAAACTCTGGCAGTGTGCTCTCCTGCTGAACACCAACCCTACCCTGCATGCTGGTCCCGCTGGAATTACTTCTTTTTTTCTGTGCCTCTGTCTCCCTATCTGTAATATGGAGTTACGCTGTATGATTTTGAATAAATGCAAGAAATAACCCCCCAAATACGGAAATTTTCTTGAAGTAACTGGTTCCAGCCTTGGTTAATAGTCAGAAAGACAGCTAAACTGAAATGCAGCACTGTTACCTGTACATAGGGCTTTTGATAAACAAATCTCTGTTCTTTTTCTGTGCCACTCACACATGAGTATTCTTACTAATATATTTCCTGTTCTGCCTTGGTTGATCTTTTAATCACTTACTGTATGTTGCCTCTACACTACTTAGACCCCAGCCTTGAGGAATGAATATGATCTGCGTTTTTCAAGGGCTCTGCTCTGCCAGGAGAGTCATGAAAAGAACAGTTTCTCCCTGCTCCCCAGTGTGTGTACGCTTGCACAGTATACATGTGAGTGTGTGCGGAGCCCAGAGCGGAGCATTGGGTATCAGAACTCCGGTTGACAGCCTTACTCCTTTGAGACAGCCTTCCACGGACCAGACGCTTGCTGTTCCTGCCAGTTGGCTTCCTTGCCAATGACCTCTCAGGATCCGCCTGTCTGTGCCTCCCACTCTGGGTTTTCAGGCCCACACAGCCATGCCTGGCATCTTACATGGGTTCTGGGAACTGGAACTCAGGTCCTTATGCGTGCAGAGCAAGCATTACTACCCACTGAGTCATCTGCTCATCCCGCCCCCCAAATACAAAGGAGTATTTGAAGCTGGATAATAAGCATCTTTTGCCCCCAGGCACCCCACTTGTCAACCTGGGGAAGCGAATAGGGTTCCTAAGTATGAATAAGGGTAGAGCATGAAAATCTATTATCATCCGATTGGCGTCGTCTATCCCACTGAAGTAGGAGAACATTTGGGCTAAGTGGGATGGTGGGAGGTAGATTCTGCAGGGCATTGAAAAAGTTGTGACCTGTAGTTGAGGATGACATAAGTTAAGGGCCATCAGGCATTAGACAGAGACACATGTTATTGGAGGGTAGGTAGGGAAGACAGCAGTTCATCTTCAGTGGTCCCTTAGAAAACTGTTGTGCTACCTGTTATTAAGGAGTCCTTGACATGAACAAGGTGCCCTCTGTGCCAAGACTCATTTCTGTAGAGGAGAGCAAGATCCCTTCTCATTTGTCCAGTTGTACAAAAGCTGTCCGGGGTCTCTGTAGCCTCCACTCACTAAGGAAAGGCAGCCAGTTCCACGGAGTCAGGCCTCCGGGCCCTCTGTGGCTCTCTGACTTACAGACGATGACCACTGGATCATCGATACGGACTACGACACCTTCGCGCTGCAGTACTCCTGCCGCCTGCAGAATCTGGACGGCACCTGTGCGGACAGCTACTCCTTCGTGTTTTCCCGTGACCCCAACGGCCTGAGCCCGGAGACGCGGAGGCTGGTGAGACAGCGGCAGGAGGAACTGTGCCTAGAAAGGCAGTACCGGTGGATCGAGCACAATGGTGAGCAGCTCTTCCTGAGGGGCTGGGCAGGGCTGGGCCGATCGGCGGGCACTGCGTCTGTGCAAGAGGGTAATCTGAGGAGCCTCCTTTGGACAGAGTCCTGGCCCTTCTTAACTAAATCTTCCCCAGGGCTTTGTCATTAGACACACGGAGAAGGGACCAAAGGCACTTTTTCCCCAAACTCTGGCACTTTCAATAAGCAAAACTTATCAGGGCCGCTCTCTTTCCTTACAGTTTGCTACCCCATGCCATTTTGCTCCCGATGCCACAATCCTTAGAAACTGTTCTGCGGGAATTAGAGTCGTTGGTGATGAAGTGTCCCTAGGAAAGAACTGGATGGGACACACAGCCATTTTATACCAAGCCGTAAACAAAAAACATCAGTGTAGCCAGTTCTGAAAAGACTGGTGCCTGCAGCGTTCTTTATTCTTTACCAAACCAAGTGTCTCTCACTGGGTTTGCACTCAGGTTTCTTGGGGAGAGCCCCTGGGCTAACAGTGGGATAGTTTAATAGCTATTGTACTTAACTGATCCTAATGTAAAACTCAGAAGCGCCGGGCGGTGGTGGCGCACGCCTTTAATCCCAGCACTCGGGAGGCAGAGGCAGGCGGATCTCTGTGAGTTTGAGGCCAGCCTGGGCTACAGAGTGAGTTCCAGGACAGGCTCCAGAGCTACACAGAGAAACCCTGTCTCGAAAAACAAAAAACAAAACAAAACAAAAACAACAACAAAACACAAAACCTTGGAAGCATGGTGAAGATGTGTGCTCTCCGTTTTGAACTGATGTGCACTCACTGCTACGGGTGGGCGCTTGGGCCTCAAAATCCAAAAAGGGTCACGCCAAAATGTAGGAAAAGAATGTTGTTCTTGGGCATCTCAGTGATCCAGTATACCAACAATGTGAGCTCAGAGACATACATAGATATCGAAGTGCCACCCTGGGGTGGTGGGGAGGCTGAAGGTGGGGCTAGTGAAGGATTATGTCACCTCTAAGCACTACACTGAGCCTTTCGCCTAAGTCACCTCAGTTAACCCTTGGACATTCTTTCCTTTTCTCTTTTTTTTTTCTTGTTTGTTTTTTTGTTTGTTTGTTTTTGTTTTGTTCAAGACATGGTTTCTCAGTGTAGCCTTGGCTGTCCTGGAACTTGCTCTGTAGACCAGGCTGGCCTCGAACTCACAGAGATCCGCCTGCCTCTGCCTCCCAATCTTGGACACGCTTTATAAAGTAAAAATATTAGCTCTACATATTTTACCAATGGGAAACATGAAGGCTAAGAAAGGCTAAGTACATTGCGTAAGGTCTCCAGTAGATAGCTAAGTTGAATGCAAACTCAGGCTTTTGTCACTCCTGAAGTCCCTTGTGGTGCCTCCTGTTGACATAGAGCAGGGACATCATGAAGACCTGGAAGCTGCAACAGTGAGCTAAGGTCAGGCTGGTGTGGCCCTCGTGTCCCACGGTAGGAGGATGGGCTTCAAGGCACTCAGAGATGTGGTGAGGTCGGGATAAACGGAAACGGATTCATACCACAGGCCCTGTGCCCTATGCTGCTCCCTGGAGAACCGGAAGAGCTTCAGTGTCACTGTGAGAGAATTGGTGACGTTCAGCCACACAGAAGCATCTGAATGGCTGCTGGCTCGAAGGCCGCCTGGGTGTTCATCTATATACAAAAGCACTGTCCACCTCTCTGTCATTCATGGTTTGATTTTCTGTATTTCAGGCTACTGCCAAAGCAGACCCTCAAGAAACAGTTTGTAGCAACATCAAGGATGCGAAGCTTCATTTGACACCTTCTGATTAACTCTCATCCAGTCTTCATCTCTATTTATCTTAGAAGTTTAGTTTCCCACCTCTCCTTACCTTCTCTAGATGGACATTAAACTGTCATCGTTGGGATAAAAATATGCGTGGGAATGACTGAATCTGTTCACACAAATGTATAGCTTACTGAAGTTCCCAGAGAGACCGTTTGAGGCTTGGGATTCTAGACTCGATTTATTAAACATGTAGTCACCATCTTCCTATGAGTTGAAGACTTACTTGTGGTCCGGTTACAGGCTGTGCAGGGTTGCACTTTTAGATGCCAAGACATTCTCTCTTCCCACTCTCCGTGACCTTTGACCTGATCTAGACATCCCTGACCTCCATATAAGAGACTGGCTCCTAACATCCTGAGAAAAGCTTTCCTCATTAATCCAGGAAGGCCTTAACAGCAGCACTACCAAGGAACTGAAACCCAGAGGAAGTAAGTGTGACCAGGCCATCAAACCCAAGGCTGTCAGCCCAGGGCCCCCGAGGTGAGCAGGACAGAAGGCTCACCTCTGTCCAGAGCTAGGAGGCTGCGAAACGTGGGTCAGAGTGATCTAGGAAAGCCCGATTTTCACTGCTTCTAGGCTGATTCGTTTTGTATTGCAGATGGGGCCAAAACTGAAGAGCAGACAGCCTTGGTACCAGAGGACCTTGGTTTTAAGTCTAAGCCAGTTCAGAGCTGTGAGATTTGGGGCTGATGGTGTGGCCTCTTTCATTAAACTTGGGGAAGCCATCAATCCCTGCCTGTCGGGACAGAGTGAGAGCCAATACAATGTCTGTGGGCACGCAAAGGAGCTGTTAGGACAGCAGGACATCTGTGAAGTGTATTGGAGGTGGGGGTGCCGACGTTTCTAAGGACCATGGGGAGGTCCCACCAAATGCCCATGTGCCTTGTTCTCCAGCAAAGGCAGAGGAAACAAGCAGCCGTGCATGAGAAAAGCCCAGCTTTTTACTCCCATAGAGCAAGCTGGCAGAGCCTGGCTCCTCAGCTTCAGTTTGACACCACAGACCTGAGATACTCACGTACCCCTTCAAAACAGAGCATCCCCCAAATCTATTAGCCAGATAGGAACAAAGACATCTGTTACTTTGTTCTTAATGTCACGATCACCATAAATCTTACCTCAGACCTGCCTGTTGGCATCTCCTGGGGCTCAGTCTTTGACTCTGGCGTCTTTCCTTTCTGCATCTTCTCGGAGACTGTTTCGTAAAACCATGGGTCCTGACACACATCTGTATTTCCCAACAACACTGTATTGCCAGGCCCAATTCTGTGTCTCTTCCTCCAGTGGCCTAGTCTATGGCTGTCTCGCTGGGATCTCAAGCGTATGCTCCAGATGGAACCCCATTTGTTTCCCAGTCTTCCTCAGTTTGGTCGCCTGCCCACTGTCTAACCAATGCCAGGCTGAAAGTCCAGGAGGCACCCTGGAATGCTGTCTTCCCTCGTCTCCATCCTCCATGAGTAAACTGTTCTCCCACCTTCCCAGGCATGGCCCGGGATTAGTTCACACGGTCCTTCACTAATGCCACACACCTTCAAGGTCCCATCACCTTTTCCTCCTTCAGGCAACCACACACTTGCTCTTCATTTTTATTCTTGCTCCTTAAAGCCTCTGCCTTGCAGAGTAGCCAGAGGAAAAGTCCTCATTGTTCAGGTCTCCCATTGCAAACCTCCAGTGCTGCCCACCGAACCCCGAGTGAACTTCTTCTGCTGGCCTGCCAGGCCTTCCCTGACCTAGCCCTGGAACTTCATTGCATCCATGATGGGCTCCAGGGGAGCACCTCTCTCTCTCCTAGCATCAAGTACAAAGAAGGCTCAGTCAACAGTTTGCAGCTCCTGGACCACACAGCTCAGCAGCCTCTCTCTTCCTGCAAAGGTCCTTCCTCTGGATCCACGTGACTGCTTCTTTCTTGCCTTTAGCCTTTCAACTCAACTGTTGCTCCTGTTTTTCCTGAACCCACCCTTACCCCATGTAAATAACCATCACCCCACAGCACCCTGACCTACCCCTACGCCATATATATAACCCTCACCCCACAGCACCCTGTCCTACTTTCTCCAGGGTGCTTATGCACTCTGGGGTGCTCTATTTTGCATTGACTCCTGTTTGGCATTCATTGGCCCCCACCCCATGAAAAGGCGAGCTCCCTGAGAACAGAGCCAGGGCTCTCGGCTTTACCACTGGATTCCTGGCACAAAAAACATTGCACAGCCACAGCAGGTGTTTCCAAGGCCTCTGATGGATAGATAGAGTAATAAAGCAACCACGTGACCTCCCTCTCCAGCATCAGGGTCCATCATCCCTTCTTTGAGTCTACAGTGCTGCTTCTACTATTTTTTTTTTTTAATATACTAGGGATTGACCCCAGGGCCACATGCTTGCTAGGCAAGCATACTACCATTGAGCCATGTCTCCTGCCCATTTTTAATGCATGGGGGGGGAGCCACGTCTAATTGTTCCTTGGAAATTCCTTAAGCAGTCTTGACATGAATGAATAAATGGTCTCAAGACCTTATGTGCCCAAGGTGGGGACTTAGGGTGGCCATGACCTTTTACTGAGAAACCTGAGCCCTGAATCAGCTCCAAGGTTTGTTTCAGCAAACCACAAGGTACAGCTTTATATGTAGGAACAGTTATAAATAAAAATTTATTAACTCAATCATATTACAAACACACTAAAAAAGTTCATAAAAAGGAACCCATAGAAAGTTTTAAGGAAAAATATTTTTATACTGAGTGATTTGCTGGCCCTGTAGATGTGTGCTGTTGGGAGCTGGATTTCTTAAAGCAGGGTGCACCGGTGACTTCCCCTTTACACGCACACAGAGGTTCACCTGCCTCCACTAGTTAGCTGGAGATAACAGACAAGTCATTTCGCCTGACAGAGGTGTCTGTAAAAATGGCTCCCTTCTCTCGGAAAAAGCAGCAGCAAAAAATCTTCCTCCAGTCGTTCCTGAACAGTGACATGTTGTACAGAATGGGGTTTAGGGCGGAGTTGGCGAACGTGAAGGCCACCACCCAGAAGAAGAGGGACGGCCAGATGACGAGGTCCTGCCTGAAGTTCTGGATCAAGAGGAGGAGGATGGTAATGATGATGGGACTCCACATGATGAAGAAGGAGACCATGAGCAGAAAGAGGGTGCGGAAGAGCCGGTAGTCCTGCTGGGACACTCGGAGCTGGTGGCTCTCGGAGTAGGCCAGGCTCAACGTGAGCCTCTTCCTTGATGCCTTCGTGATCTGCAGGAAACACAAAACACTGGAGCTACAGGTCACTGTGGGCGTCAGGGGTCCCCTGCTGGTTGGGTTTTGTTTTGTGGTACTGGGGACCGAAGCCCAGGTGGATTGGGGTGGGATTAGAGAGGGCGACTAGCGGGGCACTTCTAACCAGAAATGTGAAGGACATTGTGTCTACTGGCCTGATGTACCAGTCTGTTACCTCTGTCCTGAGGGAAGAGAGCCAGTCGGATGGGTCTTAACCATGTGAGTGGTCCTTACTAACTTCAGTTGCTGGGACTGGCCCAGGCCCAGTCTCTCTTAGCCACATTACCAGTTCTGTAGGATGGGGTGTGGGGCCTATTCTCCTAAAACCTGCATCTCCAGAGAGGAAGTGATTTTAAAGTCATCAGCATCATTCACAATTTGGGCAAGTTTAACTCATCAAAATGGCTTAAAATGTTCTCCTTACAATTCTTTTAGTTCCCTAATTGAAGGATAGAGGCTTAACTATCGTATGATTACGTGATTGCTTCTCATTCTCCGGGGCATTTAGAGCCACCTGTTTGTGATAGAGACAAGGACAGCAGGTGCCCAGTGAACTGACTGGAACCCTCTCAACGTGCCTGACAACCAGAACACCAGGATGCGAGCAATCAGGCTGGCGGCGCTTTCCTGTTGCTCCCCGCCCCGCCCCCCCCATCCCGTCCCCCGGCCACGTGCTAGGCATTTATTTCATCATCTGTCACTTTTAATCCTCACATAGCCTCTGTGTGTTCACACCACTGTTGTTCTTGCAAATTGATTCTCAGGAAATGTAAGTTGTTGACTGAAAGTCATTTCTCAGCTACTAAATAGTAACAGCCCCCACCTGTGAAAATGGAGCTGCCTAGGGGTTCCGGTACTACTCAGGACCTGCCTACTCCACTGGGCAGGAGTCTGACAGTGGCTGTAATAAACAAAGCAGTTAACTCACAGCCAAACGCATTAAGAGATTTATTAGTATTATTATTATTATTTAACATGCTGCTTTTCCTCTTCACTCTACAGTCCCCACAATTTGTACAATCAGGAAGAAAATGAGGCATTGTAATAAAATGTGAGTCCTTCCTTGCTTCCCATCCCACATTAGACAGCAAGGCTAGTCAGCACCTAGCCAGGGTTTCACATGTCTCTGACTTTGGTGGAATGCCTCTTGTGCTTTTGTGAAGTGCTCCGTTACCTTCTGGGGATTAATTCTCACCCTCAAAACAAGCCCAGGGACAGGGAGGTCTTGGGGTTCTTCCACTTTGGGAGCCCCACACAGAGATGTCCTTGTGCTTCTTCACCCTGGCATATTGCCAACTGGGAGGGGGGGCCAGTGCTCATGAGAATGTGTTCCGTGACCACTGGGAACTTGGCAAAACACAAAATGACTGTGAACAAAAGTTCCTGGAAAGAATTATACCTGCCACTACCCCTTCTACAAGGCTGATTATCCAACTAAAACAGTAGTGATTGCAGAGGGATTGGAGTGCTGCAGATCCAGAGCCCAGTTAAAATTTATCATTGGCCACTTGGAGCCCCTTTGAATAGTTATTCCACACCTACTTCTGTGTCTGGCCTAATGTCTTTGGGGCCGACAGGTGCAACCATTTATAATGTATTTACTCAACAGACCAGTTGCTTGCACCAACCAAAAGGCTAAGAATGTCACTGGACGACCTCTGAGGTCTACGGCGGAGGTTTCCTTGTTTGACTGTAACTCACCCACCTGATGCTCCCACTAAACGTATTTGAAAACCATCTTGATTTATGTCTTTCTTTTTTCTGTCACTATAAAAAAATAAATAAATAAAAATAAAAAATAAAATGAAATTAACCTTCGTGAAACAGTTACCACTTTGGAGCATGGAATTTGAGGTAGATTGACTCTGTGCTCCTGGGCCATGGCCACTCATATTTGGCTCCAGAATAAATGATGTCTTAAACTCTTTAAGCTGAGAGTTGTGTTTTTTAGATGTCCACTGGAGCCCACTTTGAGACACTTGGATTCAGTGAGGGGATCCAGAGATTCATACTTCTCTTAAAGTGTCAAGGTGACTTTTGCTCACTAGGGCGTAAGAACTGCTAAGCCCACACAGCTGCTTGGTTTGGAGTTTGTCTCTCTAGACCTTTAATGAAGTCCATTTTTAAAACAGGCCTTTTGTGACTCACTAGATTCACAAGAGCTTCTGAAGGCCAGGAGGGGACCCTATTTCCACCCAGCACCCCTCTGCCATGCCAGACCACACCAGCTGGAGGCTGGCAGTGAAGGGGATTCCTGCTGGCAGAAGTTGGGGCCCCCGGGGTTTAGCCTCCTTTGTGCAGCTCATTGGCTAGTGTCCTGTGTCCTGGCGTCAGTAGTGTCCTGATTAGGATCATCAGACAGGATGAGAGGCCCCACCTTGTCCACCTCCGAAGAAACAAGAAAGGCTACTGGAAGAAAGCAAGGACTGGAGAGAGCATCAAGATTAACATGCGCAAGAAGCCCGATGGCAAAGGACGGGAAATGCCTCCCAACCCCCATGCCATAGCAAAGCATGTCCAAGAAAAGTCTGCCGGCCATATACACATGCAACACACAACCACAGGAGAGGTAAGTGCTATGTAGATTACCCATAAAGGGCTATAACACTAGAAACCCACTGTTGGGGTTTGGTTTTGTTTTATTTTTTTTGCTTTTTGTTGTTGTTGTTTGTTTGTTTTTACCATGGAAGCCTTCTCCCCACAGCTCATTAGGTCACTCCCATTCTCAGGAATGTCTTTCTCTTAATAATCTACCCCTATTTCTATTATTAATTATGTGTCCCTGATACAATTATGTTGTGTGATATTTTATTTGTGTTCTAACAAATAAAGCTTGCTTGGAGTCAGAGAAGCAGACTTCCTACCTCTTCTGTTCCTCCAACCAAAAGGGCTGAGAGCCTGTCTCAGCCCGACTTACCACTTCCTGTCCCTCTCTTTACAGTCCTCCAAACCTCTATGGTTAACTAGTGGCTAGCTCCGCCCTCTGACTCCAAGCAAGCTTTATTTGTCAGAACACAAACAAAATATCACACAACACAATTATTTGTCCCAGAACACAAGAACCTGGAAACTTCAACAGGTGCCTTCAGAACTCAGGACCCAAATCTAAGTCTATAACATGACCATGGACCCCAGTGGGCAGGTAGTGAGGGCCAGGCTTCGTGTTTTGTTGAAGTAGATTTTTGTTTCTCAGCTAAACTCTACAATAGGCAGAGAGATTTCCATCTGCAGGCCATGGAGTTACTGGTTCATTCAACAAATATTTACCGAGACCCTGCTATATGCTAAGCTTTCTTGAAGAGGCTGGACACAGAGTGAAAAGCAAAGGAGTCCTGCCCACACTGCACTCCCTTGCCCTGGGTGTGTGGCCAGAGGGAGGGAGAATAAGAAACACAGTTACAACAGCAGAGACATCGCAGCCTGTCATCTTTATGGTTGCTGGGTAAACTTGTAAATCTGGTAAGCGGCCAGCCTTGACAGTCTGATCCAAGGCACTTAGGAATTACTGAGAAGCTATTCCCTTGGGAAAACTGTCAATAGGAAAAATATCGCTGAAAACGTATGGCATGTCTGAATCACAAGGAAAGAGGAAGCAGAGAGGGTGGGGGGGGGCAAAAATAGTCATTGCCCAGCACGTGAAATGTTCCTGAAGGGAGATCAGGGTGGGAAGAGGCAGTTGGATGCCCACTCTGTACCATTGCCCAGGTCAGGACCAGCAAAGGTTAGAGCAGGGCTTCCTGCTGGGTGCTCTATGCAATACCAGCTGGGAGAGATGCTCTGTATGCACAAGTGGGTCCTGTGATCCGATTTATAATACTGCCTGGTTAATTCCTGCGCTGGGGATGTCCACAGTGTATTAGCATAAACAGGTTGTCAAGTCCCACAGCAGAGAGCTCCATGCAGCTAGCTCAGCATTTCTTAAGTTTGTTTGTGTGACTCTTTCTATACCCATCAACCCATGGTGCTCTAGAGAGCAACCTGAGTGGTGCTGCTTTGCAATTAAAGAATGGGGTAATGTGAGAAGAGCCCCTTTGAAGACCGGAAATGGAACCCATTGCAGTCAGTAGAGACAGGGAGGAGGCAAGACTGGTGGAGAAGGGTGGGGTGATAACTTGAATATTGATGTTCAGCAGAGTCTACAGCCGTGCTCCTGGCAGGAAAGGCCTGGGCAGGAGGGCCAGTTTAGTGTGTCCTGGCTGTGCATCTTCTCAAGGAGGAGATGCCAACTCTGAGGTCCTGTCCAGCCTCTGACACACTTACCAGCTTCTGAGGCACCAGCCTGACAAACACAGGCACAAAGTTGAGAGCTAATGTCATGGTCCCCATAGGAAAAAAATGGAACAATCAGTTTTAGGGATAGTATAGAATAGAATTTTCAAAAATCTTCTGTTAGTACTAGTATTGGGATTTTTCAGACATCTCGTCTGTTCTTTCTGTATTAATCAATCCATGCATATGGCTCCAGTGGAAACTGAGGCCCACATTAGTTCAGTGGCTTGCCCAAGGTTACAAGGTGGCAAAGACTGATCTTGAACATGTCTCATGGCTCTTTGTCCAGAGACTGCCCATTGCCCAAGCACAGAAACCCCACAGATCATCTTACTGTGCTCCAAGGCTTTGGGCCTCACTCATATGTAAGTATAAAGTGAGCACCTACAGCCAGCTCTGGGCATGCAGACACAACAGTGAACAAAACAGCCTCTGCTCTCGTGGAGCATGCAACACCTCAGCAGGGGGAGTGAGGGACTACAGCATGCAAAGTGTTTGGAGGAGAAACCTGTTAGTGAGAGATTGCTGAGCAACAGGGAATGCTTCTAGGGGAGAATTCTGAGGGAGTGAGAAGTGGTCCACACAGCAATCCAGAAAAGAGAGATCCTGGAAAGGAAATGACAGGGAGGTATCATGCCCTGAGGCAGCTGTGTGGGGGGGTGTGCAAGGGACAGTCTCCAGCCCACCTGGACATGAGACAGGAGGGAATTCAGGGGCCAGGCAGAAGGCTAACTGCACAAGACTTTAGGTAGGGGCTTTGGATTTGGTTCATGTATAAAAAAGCAATGGGTTAGCCGGGCGGTAGTGGCGCACGCCTTTAATCCCAGCACTCGGGAGGCAGAGCCAGGCGGATCTCTGTGAGTTCGAGGCCAGCCTGGGCTACCAAGTGAGTTCCAGGAAAGGCGCAAAGCTACACAGAGAAACCCTGTCTCGAAAAACCAAAAAAAAAAAAAAAAAAAAAAACAAAAGCAATGGGTCTAAATTCAACTGTGACCTATAGCACTCAGGGAGCCACTGCAAACCACACAGACCTCCTGCTGCACAGGGAAGCTGTGCAGGGCTCTGAGATGTGCAGGGCTGTGAGTTTACACTCAAGTGTGGGGGGAGCCTGGGGAGAGCACTGTTGTCCAGAGGACAGAAAGGAGGGCTCTCTCCCCCTCCTGGTTCTGAAGACGTTTTCTGATTTTCCCTGACGGAAAGACCCAGTCTTGAGATTGAGATTGCTGTGGATGGGGAATCACACAGGAGGGTGTGTCACACATGGAAAGGGGGCATACCAGAGCCCTCTTGACTTCTCCATGTCTCACGAGTGGTCACCAACAAGGGGAGCTTAGGCGCTGCTGCCCCTCCCTGCTCCCCAGCCAGTCTGCTCCAGCCATGATTTCTTATTCTTGTTCCAAACCTTGACCCACTGTTTAACCCCTGGGGAACCTGGGTGTTGTGTGATATTTGTTTGTTTGTGTTCTCACAAATAAAGCTTGCTTGGCATCAGAAGGTGGAGTCAGCCACTAGCTAACCATAGGGGTTTGGAGGACTGTAGAAAGAGGGGCAGGAAGTGGTAAAGGGGGGCTGAGACAGGATCTCAGCCCCTTTTGGTCAGAGAAATGAAGAGGTATGAAGTCACTGGTGGCTGCTCCCCTGCTTCTCTGATCTTTCCGATTTTTCTCTGACTCCTGGTTTTTAACGACAAGATAATTAGATTTGCACCTCACCCGGGTGAGGCAATTCCCTAGTATACTCAGAAGGAAGGGTTGGAAGAACAGCCCAGCAGAGTAGCATCTGCCATGCTATTCATGGCGGGCAGTTCTCACATACTTGCCTTATGCAGCTTCATACTAGAAATTAAGGCTGCCAGTTTGCAGATGATTGAAATGGGGCCCAGAGAATGCAAGTCGCGAGCCCAAGTAACCCAGCAAAGTAAACCAGCAAAGACTCAAAGCTAGGTGGTTTCAAAAGAACCTTCCAAGCCTCATATCTGTTCCCATGGTTCTTTGCTCTCCACTATACCCCTCACTGATCCTTGGTGCTTGCGCAATAGCTGACAGCTTGCTTTAGCTTCGCCTGACACAGAATCACTCTTGTGCTGTGGTGTTTCTTGCTTTAGAACACAGCATCATTGCCCAGCTGCCCCTTTGTCAAAGATCCTTCAAGGCAGATTATAACTTGCACACTCCTGAACCACACCTACTTCCTGCCAACATTCTGCACGTAGCACTCTTTACAAACCTCTGAGGTTTGGGTGTTGGGTGGGGCCATGGGGCCAGTCTGCTTGGGTTTAAATATTGAAGCTGACACCTGTAAGCCCCATGACCTTGGGTAAATTGCACAACATCTCTGGACCATCTTGTCTGAGAATCTTCTTTTAGGGTAAGATGAGTTGGTGCTTGCTGCACTGCATGATAAACACTACATGCATGCAGCCTAGCACAGTAGTGCATGCCTGCAATCCTAGTACTTGGGAGGCAGAGACAGAGGATTAATGCAAGTTCCAGGCCAGTCTAGTCCACATAGGGAGCTACAGACCTGTCGGAACTATAGAGTAAGACCCTGCTTCAACAAAACCAAAACAACACAAACATTTAAAAATTTATTCTATTTTTCTCTGTCCTTTTCTTTCTCTTCCTTCATTGTGATTTTATGATACTAATTAATTCTTTTATAACATTAAAATATGCCAAGCCATCCATTTCAGCCCCTGGAATTTGCCTCACATAGTAGAATAAGTCCAAGCTTGGATCCCTTCAGAGACGGAGAGTCATCTGGTGGGACAAGTCTGGCTAGAGAGTTAAACACCATCTCCCACAGAACCAGGGACTGGCAGTGTTAGGTGAGGTTCTGTTTGTAAGAAGGCTACAGATCCACAGCCATAAAGGGCCGTAAAATGGCCAGAAGGTGATCAGGGCCTTTTTAACACACCTGTTTATCATGACCCACACAAAAGATGCTATAAAACTAAGATTGAACCAATACACACTTCCAAGAGGGCTCAAGAGCTTTGAGGTAAACCTTATAAGTGGGCGTAAATATACATGCTTGTGTTTGTTGGGTGGCACCTTCCTTGCAAGTAGGATGCCTTTAGAGGCAGGAAGCAGAGGCTGGCCCATCTTTTATATGTCTGTGTACATACACTTACTTTTCTAGAAGACTTCATTTATTTCTGGTGCCACACACACTTGAAGTGGACCTTCCCAAGGAAAAGGTCACTGACCCATGGGGACAGGAAGGACTTCTGGCCAAGTTCTATTCTCCATCTAGGAGCCACTTTATGAGAGTGTTCAATTTGTGAGCGGAATACGTAAGCTGGGTGTGATTTTATATTAGTATATGATACTTCCATAAAAACAAATCTTACGAAGTAGACATTGTTAGTCACTGCTGGGTTTGTGGGAAAACAGTGGACACAACTCCAAAGTCCACAAAATGATTATATCATACCTATATGACGAAGGCTGTGTAACTCTTAACTAACAAGATAAGATACAAGAACTGATACAGAAAGATGTCCTGATACGGTGCTGAGTGAAAAAAAAGGAAGTTATTAGGCAGCAGTATCTCATATCTGAAAAGAACAGTGAACAGTGCCAACAGCCATCTGACCATCTGAACCTACACACAAGTATACATGGTGCTGTAATGGGGCAGAGACACAGCTGGGCCATTAAGGTTGGGAAGAGAATAGATTTTCAACTTCTGCATTACACAGTTCTGTGCCTGTTTTCAACTTAATGTTTTTATAACTCGGTAGTATTTTAATGATGAAAAGATTCACAGGAAGATAACTGATTTAGAAAACAAAAGCCAAAATAAATATACAAATTCTCATCCCTCACTGTTACAGGGGGTAGCAGAGGATCTGCACAGTGAATCAAGATTGCACTGTGAGAACCTTCAAGGTATCCTCTGACCCGGAAGTTCTAAGATTCTACTGGAAGTGCCCAGACAGAAGTGAAGTTCAGAACAACACTGAAACTAACATACCTGTAAAATTTTGGAGTAACTGATCACAATCACCAGTCCTGGCACCAGGAAGTTCAAAGTCACAAAAAACACATCCCATGAGATTTCTCCTATGCGGCTGGGCCAATCCAATGTGCAAATTGGAATTTCCTGTTTACAAAAGGGAAAACAATATCATTTAAACGCTGACTTCTTCTTTAGCCTTTAACCCAGTCCTAGTTTAGGGCTGTGGTACACTGTTACACTGTGTGTTACTCAGCTGCTGTGACAGTGAGCCCCAGAATCCATTCCTTCTCTGCCCATGACATTGCCTCGTACCGGCCCCTGTCCCAGGTGCCTAGGGTTACATAATTATAATTCTCTTTCTCCAGGAAGGCGCTGAAACTCCAAGTCCTAGGCAGGTAAGAGCTGGAGAAATTCCCCAGGATTGGTCCTTCCACTTCTCCAGGCTTCCACTTCTCCAGGCAAAGAGTGTTTGAGCCTTCTCTTCCAAGCTGGGTTCTTTAAAGAAGAGAAACTTGACCTCAGGGAGGTTACATAGACTGGAAGTCACATGCACATGCCACACACAAGCATTTGGAGACAGGATTGAGGGTCCAGTGCAGTGACACTTTGCTAAAGCAAGAGGGTCTGGGTGTTGTTTAATTGAGGGTGTTCAATTGCCTGAATGTGTCAAAGTCAGGTACACATGTAGTCCAGCTACTCTGACCAAGGCAAGAAGATTGCAAGGACCAAGCAGTTTAAGACAAGCCCAGGCAACATTAATAAGACCCTGTCTCAGGTCATACATGCATACATACATGCATACATACATACACACACATAAAATGGGGGCTGAAGAGATGACTCAGTGGTTAAAAGAACTTGCTACTCTTGCAGGGACCAGGGTTCAGTTCCCAGAACCTACATGACAGCTCACGGTTATCATTAACTCCATTTCTGGGGGATTTGATGCCCTCTTCTGGTCTCCACAAACACCAGGCATGCATGTAGGGGCACAAACATACATGGAGGAGGCAAAACATTCCTGTGTACCTAAAATAAAATTAATAAATCTTTAAAAAGCAGAGACACGAAACTCCAAAACAATAACAATGAACACCATACACACACACAAGCATACTGTCAGTCTGCCTCAAACAATAGGCCATCTCTCTTCAAGGAAATGTCTGGTGCCCAGACTTTGGAGCGCTATTCCTCCTGGGAACAGGACAGAGCCCTGAGGCAAACGCCTAGAATGTTCGAAAGGCATGGAGGCCTGTGATCGTGCTGTGTTGAATTCAAAAGTTTGATACTAACTACAAAACCAAGGTGTGAGGAGTCTACTGAACAGTAAAAATCTATTATTGTGACAGTTCCTTCCATTGAGTAAATATATCAGTGGAAATGGAGTATGAATGTGAATGTATCTTCCCACACCTGAACTTCTTGTGCCTGCTTGACAATAAGAACAGAGATATTTAGAACACAATTCACCCCAAACCCTCCCAAACATCAGAACACCTATTTAAGAGCATATGCAATGTAAAAGGTCATATTGATGAGTTTTGATATAGTATATGTATCTCTGCCACAGGCATCCATTCGATCATTTGATCAATAGTTATTGAATACTAAATACACTAGGAAAAATCATAAATTTTAACATTTGCCAATGTGAATCATAATTGAGCAAACTCAAAATGTTGTCAAATAGTTTCATACACAGTATTAGCAGAAAACAGAAGCATTTCATATTTATTGAACATTTACCATGCACCAAGAACTGCTTCCTAAATGCAGCAATGTTGTTATGCTTACAACAACCTTATTGAAACTCACATTATTAATTTTTCTATTTCATAGAAGAGGAAACTAAAGCTAGAAACATCCTTCAAGAACAACTAAAGGTTACTTGTTTTCACTGGTAACAAATAGCTCCAAAAAGTATTAAAGAAACATCAAGAGAGCTACCAATAACTGGGCGATGGTGGCACATGCTTTTAATCTCAGCACTTGGGAGGCAGAGGCAGGCAGATCTCAGTGAGTTCAAGGACAGTCTGGTCTACAGAGTGAGTTCCAGGACATCCAGGACCGTTACACAGAGAAACCCTGTTTCGATAAACAACAACAACAACAACAACAACAACAAAAGAGCTACCAATAAAACTTTTCAGGGCAAAAAAGTAAGGTAGAATGTTTTAACCATGCCAGATGTGGTGCCATGTGCATGTCATTTCAGCCTTAACAAGGCTGAGGCATGAAAACTGCCATCCTTGACTCCTGTGGGAGCCCACAGAGGCTATCTAAGTGAGAAATTACTCAGGGTCAGAGAATCTGAGCTTGCTTTACCCAGCAGGGCTGCATAATGAGATTATTTGGACACGGGCATGGTTACCAGGTGTTTGGAAGTGTCTACACTTGGCTGCACGGTGTGCTTTGATCTTGCAAGGGGGAGGTCTTTTGTCTCTCCCCTTGGCATGTTATAAAAAGCCCTTTTCAATAAAGCATGGGGCTGTTGGGTATTGATCCAGGCCCTCCCGAAGCTATCCTGTGTTTCTGTCTTTCTTCTTGTCAGCTAGGTTTCTCTTTCTAGCTGATATTTCCTATTCCTTTCTCCTCCACCTAAGAACCCTTCAAAAGGTAGGAGCTGGACTCCCACAGACTACACAGTGAGACCCTGTCTCAAAACAACAAAATAAAACATTTTAATCATGTCCATACATTGAAAAGGGAGATGAGGATGTTGCTTCCCTTTCCAGCCTTGTTAAATGGGTCATAAATGGGCTGGACACTCTAAACTCACTCCTCTCCTCCCACGTCCCCTGCTAATGGGACAGAGCTTGTTACATTGTTCCTCATTTTGATGAATGAACGGAGACGTGTGTGTCTCTCGGTGATCCTGAGTTCTGGCAGCTGTGTTCCTGCTGTTCCTGGACCAATCCACGTGGCCTCCAGTTTGTATTCAGTTCTCTGCCCACTATAGGACCCTCACTTAGCACACTGGAGTCCACAGGTATGGACAGGTGTGCTGAAACCTCAGTCACGAAGAAAGGCTTCAGTCCTAAATGGAATTTGGTTTCTAATTTCTATATTTGTGAAAGAAAAAAGGTATCTAAGGGTAGGAAAACATGACCTCAGAACTATTTCTTAAAGTTCCTAAGATTTCTCCCCAAAAGCCGCCTTCTGTTCCTGGGCCAATCCCTCCTGGCTTTATGAAACTTTATAAGAAAATGCATATGATAGAGTAAGTATTCTCCCTACATGAGGGAAAAAAATGCTGGGATTACAGATCTGTACCATCACACCTGGTTGATGCAGTGCTAGGAATTGAACACGGAGCTTCATGCATGCCAGGCAAGTGTTCTACCAACTAAGCTACATCTCCAGCCCCAGAATTTATCAACCTTTTTATAAGTGCTTTTGGTTAGCATACAAAGGAATGGATTTCACTCTGACATTCCCATTTTGTTCTCATTCAGCTCTCCAGTGCCCTCCCCATCCCTCCTCCTCCTTTTGCTGGTCCTTTTCTTCCCCTGAAAATGACAAATATTTCCTCCATTCTATCACCCTCTATTGCTCCCCCTCCCTCTTCCTTCAGTTACCTACATTTTCTAACTGTTGCTATGTAGTTTTGTTTTTTTGTTTTTTTTTTGTTTTTTTTTTTTTTTTTTGGTTTTTCGAGACAGGGTTTCTCTGTGTAGCTTTGTGCCTGTTCTGGATCTCACTCTGTAGCCCAGGCTGGCCTCGAACTCACAGAGATCCGCCTGGCTCTGCCTCCCAAGTGCTGGGATTAAAGGCGTGCGCCACCACCGCCCGGTGTAGTTTTGTTTTTAATGAGAGAAAAAAAGAGAGCTTGCTTGTAGGGAAAAGTGGTTATCAGATATCAGCTCATCATCAGAGTTGGGTAAACATGACCAGCAGCGACGACACACTCAGCCCGGGGAGCTTCCCAAATTCTTCTCATGAAGACACCCTTTGGCTTCTGATTTGTGGCTCTCACTACAGACAGGAAGTGTGACAAGAAAGGAAAGGGGGAACTGTTCGCAGTACCTTCTGAGCTAAGAGTCAGTGGGAATGATCTAAGTGACAGCTTCACACACTTTTCAGAAGGCGTTCTATCGCATCGGAGATGAAGTACAAGGTGATGATGCTCATTTCAAACCAGCTGGGCCAGTGAGATGGTTCGGTGGGTACAGGCGCTTGCTGCCAAGCCCGACTTCCTGAGTTTGATCCCTCGGACCCACATTGTGAAAGGAGAGAAGTGACTCCTGAAATTTGTCTTCTTCCCTCCACACATGTGCTGTGGCTCATGCATGCACCCACATGCACACACACACACACACACACAGTAAATAAATTTAAAAACTTTAAAGCTTAATTATTAAAACAACAAAAAGGCATCATGCCACCATTCACAGATCTGAGCAGATGTCGTAACTTTATTTCTATGAGAAACTCCATCTGACAAGTCACTTTGATTCTAGTCTCCTCTGACAGACTGTGATTTGCAGAGGAACTGGGCAGTGCCTGACATTGGAAGGTGGGCACATGATGTTATCATAGCCTCTGAACCTTTTCTATACATCTGAAATATTTTCTGGTTTCATAAAAGAAATTTGGAAACCAAACTGCTAGGCCTGACTGCTTTGCTGAGATCTGAAAGTGGAATTGGCAACACCAGCAACAGTATTTTAATGGGATCTGTTCATTCATCACCAGACAGAGTGCTTGGGCTAGTGTAAGGCCACAGTCTGATGAGCAAGGCTCTGACCCTGCCTTAGGAAGTCCAGGTACTTCCAGAAGCCAAAAGGGAGCTGTTTCAGCCATCTCTGGAAGGGAATGGGGGTGGCACTCAGATGTTGGGACCAGACAGGCTGAAGATGGAGGTTAAGCACAGCAAAGGGTTAAGTATGGCTGCCATCTCCCAGTGTTCTGCCCCTTCCGGTCTCCCCCTCCCCCTGGATGCCTCCTCCATTTCCATAGCTTTGTATTTGTTTGTTTTTAGTTCTAGAGATTAAACCTTCGATTAAACACACACACACTCGGCAAGCACTCCATCACTGAGCTACATCCTCAACCCTCCATAGTTTCTTTTGGCAAATGATCCATTCCAGTTTCCTGCTCAGTTAGTGTTCTCCCTAACCCCAGTCTCACTCCCAAAGGACACC